AGTGTCAGATGGTGTATGTATCCCCCTTACCACGCCACACAGTTCATATAGTGTAGTGTGTCACAAGTGTCAGATGGTGTATGTATCCCCCTTACCACGCCACACAATTCATATAGTGTAGTGTGTCACAAGTGTCAGATGGTGTATGTATCCCCCTCACCACGCCACACAGTTCATATAGTGTAGTGTGTCACAAGTGTCAGATGGTGTATGTATCCCCCTCACCACGCCACACAGTTCATATAGTGTAGTGTGTCACAAGTGTCAGATGGTGTATGTATCCCCTCTTACCACGCCACACAGTTCATATAGTGTAGTGTGTCACAAGTGTCAGATGGTGTATGTATCCCTCTTACCACACCACACAGTTCATATAGTGTAGTGTGTCACAAGTGTCAGATGGTGTATGTATCCCCCTTACCACGCCACACAGTTCATATAGTGTAGTGTGTCACAAGTGTCAGATGGTGTATGTATCCCCCTCACCACGCCACACAGTTCATATAGTGTAGTGTGTCACAAGTGTCAGATGGTGTATGTATCCCCCTTACCACGCCACACAGTTCATATAGTGTAGTGTGTCACAAGTGTCAGATGGTGTATGTATCCCCCTTACCACGCCACACAGTTCATATAGTGTAGTGTGTCACAAGTGTCAGATGGTGTATGTATCCCTCTTACCACACCACACAGTTCATATAGTGTAGTGTGTCACAAGTGTCAGTTCATATAGTGTAGTGTGTCACAAGTGTCAGATGGTGTATGTATCCCTCTTACCACGCCACACAGTTCATATAGTGTAGTGTGTCACAAGTGTCAGATGGTGTATGTATCCCCCTTACCACGCCACACAGTTCATATAGTGTAGTGTGTCACAAGTGTCAGATGGTGTATGTATCCCCCTTACCACGCCACACAGTTCATATAGTGTAGTGTGTCACAAGTGTCAGATGGTGTATGTATCCCCCTTACCACGCCACACAGTTCATATAGTGTAGTGTGTCACAAGTGTCAGATGGTGTATGTATCCCCCTCACCACGCCACACAGTTCATATAGTGTAGTGTGTCACAAGTGTCAAATGGTGTATGTATCCCCCTCACCACGCCACACAGTTCATATAGTGTAGTGTGTCACAAGTGTCAGATGGTACACCCTGTACTCTGGTTCAGACTCTCAACACGAGTACAACAGAGGTTTGTGATACACTGTTACTGACACCCTCGCTGGCCTGGGGATACTTTAAGGCGTGGACACACTGTTCAGGGAGACCAAGTTCACTGTTGAAGGAGGGAGTGGAGGGAACTGTACTGTATATGAACAGTTATACAGACACTGGTACACTGTAACTTAAACTCCACCAGTAACAACCGACTTAACCCTCATGGAACTCTAACCCAGTTAAGGATGCTGCTGAATGATGGTGAAACAACCCTTGGGTGAATTATCATCCTCCCAAGGTGGTGGAGTAACCCAATACCTGCTGAAATATTTAACCTAACCAAACCCTTAGTTATATTAAAGGTATTTATTGATAAACTGAAGTAAACTTGGGGGGTTTAATCTTCAGGTGATCCGCTATAATGTATATGAGAAATACGTTATTAAACACACCTTGACTTGAAGTAAACACATACTATATGACTCACTTGGAACACACTCACCTGTACCATCCTGACGAAGACCACGAACCACGACTAATCAATTTGTCTGATACCCGGTACACAACAGAGGCACATCTGAGCACTATATCGTGTTTCTAGGAATTCTTTATCTCAATCATGATTACGTTGAAGGAGGCTAACAACGACTTAAAATTACACACCCCCCCCCCTCTCACTCCCCTCCCTCCTTCTTATGCCATTACTAATATATTTATTTCTCTACGCAAACACTAGCGTCTTTAACTCTCTTGGTGTAGGAAGAATCGTTTCTCTTTTGTTTTTTGTATTTTTTTGTAATCATTAATGACGACTTACCTAAAATACACGAAGCTTAAAGACCTTAGTTGTTGAAGCGTATTAATACATTATGACAACGCCATCAGGGTCGAGATCTTCTGTATAGGTTTCTATAGTCATGTCCAAGTTGTAATTTACCCCAGTGAGAGACGGATGAAGTGCCGAGGAGGATCACACACACCCACACACACACACAGTCGTAACACACACACCCACACACACACAAAGTCGTACACACACACACACACACACACACACAAAGTCGTAACACGCACACACACACAGTCGTAACACGCACACACACCCACACACACACACAGTCGTAGCACGCACACACACACACCCACACACACACAGTCGTAACACGCACACACACACACCACACACACACACAGTCGTAACACACACACACACCCACACACACACAGTCGTACACACACACACACCCACACAGTCGTAACACACACACCCACACACACACAGTCGTAACACACACCACACACACACAGTCTTACACACACACCCACACACACACACACA